GAGTTCGACACATGGGCAACTCCCAAATTGGGTTGGCTCTATCTCAACAACAATTTGTTGACCTCTGTCCCAACATTCAAGAGCGACAGCCTGAAAAGAGTCGAGCTTGATTTTAATAAAATCACCAGAGTGGTGTTTGACAGATGGGAAACTCCGAAATTAAGGATACTTTCGCTCACTCACAATTTGTTGACCTCTGTGCCAGCCCTCAAGAGCGATAGCCTGGAAGAACTCTATCTCGACTGGAATAAAATCACGAATGTGGAGTTGGACGGTTGGACAACCCCGAAATTGAGGAAACTTTCGCTCACAAACAATTTGTTTACCTCAGTCCCAGCCCTCAATGATAACAGCCTGGCTTTCAGAACATCTATACCCATATTTGCGGAAAGTTCTGGTGAGTTGGAGAAATTTCGGATTTCTTCGATAATCTGTAATGTAAAGTTGTCAGTTTCTTCGGCCCTACGTCCAGTCTCGCCCCTTTCCCCATGCTCTTGCGCCCATCCGTCGGGAAGGAAGGAAATACCCTTTTCTGCACTGGTGGACGGGTAACGCCTCCCTCGAAAGCCGATACCGATTCAACTTTGCGACCCTTCTACCTCCCTCCCTTCGTGGGCGCTGCCTGACGCCCTTTTCTCTGGCCGGACTCCAGGCGCATTCCCAATTTCTCTCCATATCGCCTCGATCGTGGTTTTAATAATTCGAGTTGAGACTTCGCGTAATATAGGTAGAGGAAGAATTTCTGAATAATGCTCTCGAATCGACTAGGACGATGAGAGGAAAACTTCATCTGGTACTTCAATCGCTTGCGTTAATTCTGATTTAATTCTAAGAACGAAATATGTCAGCGTGAGAAAACGTGATATTGTCTCGTCGTGAAGTGGGGCTTGCATTTCTTTTCGTATTGCATGGAAACTGTTACCTGATACTTTTTCCTAATTAAGGATTTCAACAGTATTTTCCGTTGATGAATTTGACTTGAATATGGTTACATTGGGAATAGCAATTGACTTACATGCTAGAGCAATTGAAGTGTGCGCCAATCCATCATTTAATTATTTAATACCCTCTCCACAACAGTTTCTCCCCGTCTATTCCAGATTATTGGGCTCCCACGTTGTACCTTCAAAATAACTCGATAGCCACAATCGACGGGTGGATCCTTCACCGAATCCTGAAGAAATTTTCCGAGGGAGGTGGTTTGCTTCGTCTGGAAGGTCAGCGCCCAGGGCTGGCCAACTGCTTCCTGCGCCTTCTTCTTTCGCCTTTGGAATTATTAAAGCCTTCATTTTTATTAAAGTCTGAAAAATTCTTCGTCTCTCCTTCGTTCCAGGCAATCCCGTTCGGTGCGACTGCAGCTTGTCCTGGTTGGCGGTCTCTCCCGAACTGATGGGGAAAATGAAAGGGGCATGCGAGAATGGGATCGGTTTGAAATACCCCGATCTGATGGAATCCCTGAAAAAATGTCACGGCGACGCCACGACGAGCCCAAGCCGTACTCGGTGTCTCGACGGCGTCGGAGATCTAACCTGCATCGATTTGCCTCATGCTTTCGTGTGCGACGAAAAAACTCTCGACACTTCCCTTGCCTGTCCGAAAGAGACTCAAGTTTGCTGCAAGAAGCGCGTGAGTCTCGATTCGGCCGTGCATACCCAATTACCGGTTACCCTATTACCTATTGGTAAAACCCTATTACCGGTTGCAGGCAAATGTGACCGGCTGTGGACAGCTTCCTGGCATCATACACGGACGCTTCAGTATTTATTCTTGCTCGTCTGATGGGCGGAGGTAGGATTATTCAAAAACCTGCTCTCGTGTTTTCTCCATTAAAAAAGACTTTTTCCTTCGTTTTTCATGAAAATGACATTTGAATAGATACATTTAGATGCTTGCATGATCACATGGGATTGATATAACATTTTGGTGCATCTCAGGGTGGTACTTTGGCTTATGTAAAAAAAATATCCATTACAAACTGTGTCACAAAACTTGCTGCAGACATTAGAGGATCTATCCTACTCATCCGTCTATTAGGAGCCACATGGAATTGGAATATTGAAAATTTGACAAAAGCTTTCCTTTCTTTCAGTTACAAAAGTAAAAGGAGATGCATTCAAGGCGGGAAATACCTCATCGGAAGCAAAGTGAACTACACCTGCGAGAACTATTACATTCTAAGGGGTCCAAGCGTTCGAACGTGTGGAGGGACCGGTGAATGGAACGGTGAATGGACCGGCCCTGACCCATTCTGCGAACCTGGTCCGTTTTTTTCCCTTTGAGAAATTGCTTCCATTTGGTCGATTCGGATACGATGACGGATTTGCGTGTCGGATCCTCCTGTGCATCTAGAGTGCGGCCGAATGAAAAAACTAGGTGCTTCCGCTCGGCGACTGATTCGCGATGGGGAGGAGGTCGCGTTTGGAGCGCGGCCTTGGCAAGTTGCCGTCTGTGACGCGCTGAGGAGGGTCGTCATTTGCGGAGGAGCTCTGATTGGAAGAGGATGGGTTCTCACGGCGGCGCATTGCGTGGAGGACCAAGGAAATCTATTTCATTTTCGAGATGTGAACGATTTCTTCGTTTATCTCGGCAAACACTATCTAAATGAGTCGATGGATGATGAATTCGTGCAAAAGATGAAGGTGCAGGCTCGAATACATTTCGTGTTATTTCCAGGCTGAAATGGAATTTCCGGTCCTAGGTATTCAATAGAAGTCGATTCCAAATCGCTCGCAGGTGACTCGGATCATAACGCACGACGCATACAACGGCTTGGAGTCGGACATCGCCCTGCTGAAACTGGACCGCTCCGCTAAACCGACGGAAAGGGTTCAGCTGATCTGCCTGCCGTCTCACGACGACCGGTCCGACGACTTCTTAGACGGCGCTCAAAACGAATGCGGCGGTTCTCACCACGGATGGGTAAGCCGCGATCCCGCGAATGCCTCGCTCCTTCATTCGCCTCATTTCGCCGCCGGCTCGAAACCAGGTGGCAGGGTGGGGGATGGACGCCTCGAACCGGCCGACTGATGTCTTGAGAGAGGTGCAGCTGACCGTCATACGGACTGGTGAGTGCCGGGAAAAAATCATCCAGGCAGAAAAGCATCCAACGTCCATCACTAGGAAGACGTTTTGTGCAGGAAAACGCAACTATAACTCCTCGATCGTAGAAGAGGATGCGAAAGGTATGAGAAACGTCATCACTCCAATCGTGTCAACTTCCATTCGTAAGAAAATATTCCAGAAATTCGCCTGGTGTAGTACGGATATGAATATTAATCGATTACCAAGAATCGCAGTGCATCTCCGGGAAAAACGCAAATCAGACTTTCCAGTACGCGAAAGCGACGAGATAATTTCCTCGCAGAATACAAGACGGTGTGCCCAGGCGACTCGGGGAGTCCCATGATCTTCGCCTCTCGCAGCCTCCTGAAAAGCGAATGGGTGGTCGAAGGAATCGTCAGCCACACCTACGCGATGGAGGGACAGGATTGCTCCAATTATAAGCCTGGCCAGTATGGCGTCTTCACTCGGGTCAATAGGTGAGACGTGTCGCTTCTTGAAGTCGATTAATTATTAATTAAGAGAATGCTTCTTTGAGGGAAAACATGGTTTTAAGGTTCTACTTCATCCGAAGTTCCTCGTGAATAATCAAACGTTTCTGATTTTCCTCATTTCCTTCTTTGAACATGTCTGATGGGCGAGAAAATTTTTACTTCTCTTTTTGATACGGTGTGTATGGATAAACAAATTAATTAATTTTAATGACGTGATGAACGCCTTCTTCCTCATTGAATCTGCTCCCACTGGGAGTCACAGGATTTTCCCAGTAAAAAAAAAAAGCAACCCTTCTCTATTCCTCTCAAGAAACAATTTATATATGCTGTAAGCATTGGACGTACTAAGAGTAACCGGAGAAAGTGCACACCACCGGTTGAAATGCCAGTCTTTATTGGGGTTGAAGGAAGGATTTGAGCTCACACATGAGATGATATGCATTTATTAATTTTGGAGGCCAGAGAACGTACGGCCTCCACTCATCGATGAATGAAGTTTTTTTTATTTCATTGTTTTCATTGTTTTCCTTACCGTTTTTGGGTACTCACGACGTGTTAATATTTTTCCTTCTTTCCAATCAGGTTTGTCGCCTGGATCGAGCAGAGCATGTTGATGCACTCATGAACATGAGCCAATTCCAATTCCAATTCTTTCCAATTCTTTCCTGTTCCAATTCTTTCTCGAGGGAGACCGTTGATTATGAGTTATAAAATATAATTAAAAAATTTAAAGTAACACTTGTGAAACATGGGACCTAAGACAAACGGGGAAAATGGCTGGAAAGTCGGCTTTCACTCCCCATACTCCACAGGGGGCACCACGGGATTGTCAATCCATACCTGACTCGGGGCTTGTCCAAACCACTATTTAAAAATTTTCTCACGTGATCAGCGGTAGGGAGCTCCACCTTTCAATCCTACATGCCTCATCTGATCTCGTAGTTTCCCACGTTTTCCGATGCATTCCTGGAAACAATCCAACTTTCAATGATCCGGTGTTGAAACATTTTAGAATGTATGTCTTACGAAATTCCTTCTTTCTGTTCATATTTTATTACGTTGCTAATCATATATACCGTAGTAGCACATAACATTGAATCAATTTTGATTTCAATACTATGTACTACTAACGTAAATTTTTATATCAAGTGCACAGTTGCGCTTACTTTGCAGGTATGGGCTTTTTTCTGTGGACGCTTCTCGTATATTCACTCGAGATTCTGTTTTTCGAGATTCTGTTCGCATACCCGCTTTCACACCTTTCTTTAAATGATTTGCAATCGTCAAATACGGTTGTCCTTGACAGTTATTGCAATACTGTGCATTCAATTTTCCACGAATTTCAATATGTTTCATGTTAATGTTGATCTGATTCGCTGTCCCACCTTCTTCGTTATCTCAACTGGCGCCTACTAGATTTTCAGCACATTAATAAAGCGGGAAACATGTGATTGTGGGTATGGATTAACCACATTAGGAAGATAAATTTTCCCCAAAATGATTAATCAACATCCTGATTGCTGCAAGCTGATTGCTTAAAAATGAGGTATTAAGCAGCTTTTTAGCTTCAGTAGGTTAGGAGATGTTGCATTTGTTAGAGGGGTCATTTTCCATTTGCATTTTCCATTCCATCCAAAACGTCAGAGGGGCATATCTCAAAGAGCGTTGAACAAGGACTGCTGTAATTTTGGATACATCAGTTTCTTAATACCCCTAGTACGCATAATTTGTTAACACCAAAATTCCCACTCGGTGCAGCAGCCATCTTTGGACCACTTGAGATGGAATGACTCCCAAACGTCGGCGGTTATCTAAAGGTTAATTTCACAGGAAGAAGCCTTGGATGAGGGGGAAGTCGAATTTACAAGAGGTGTTCAAATAATACGTGCACTTTTTTGATGAAAGGCAGAGTAATGGATGCAGATGATTCATTTTGGGGAAAATTTCTCTTTAAACTAAGAGCACGTTCTAAACGCGTACATTAACGAACGCGATTCGCTTGGAAGCAATGGGACAATATACTGGACATGCGTCGCGGTCAAGTCGGGATGCAAGGGAAGAGCGATTCATTCAAGACAGCGAGGGAATCAGAGAAGGCCGCAAAAAGCACGATCATCTAGTTCGTCCTACACAAGTTAGAGTCAAATGACAGCATCACTCAGTCCCCAAAAAGTGCTCATCCGTGTACGTTTGAAGCCCAGCAACCTCTTTCAACCTCGTAGTTCATCATGGACGCTTGCAATTCACGGCATCAGACGGGATGCACAATCGCTAGCGTGAGAGTCTCGCCTCATCCTTCATCCGAAATTTGGGAGGTGAGAGCTAATACCCTTGTAAGTTGTCTCCCTCCCTTTTGCGAGGCCGGGTTGTAAATTTCATTCATATCTCAAAGCGTTGGTCTATAGAGCTGTCACACACACACACACACAGATACATACACACAGATACATACACACAGATACATACACACAGATACATACACACAGATACATACACACAGATACATACACACAGATACATACACACAGATACATACACACAGATACATACACACAGATACATACACTCAGATACATACACAAATTTGTCGCTCAGCCTAGCTAGCGGTTAGGATTACGCAGACTATATGTTTAATATCCGGACCTCAAAAGAGACTTCCGGTTAAATTTAGTCTTCCCATGGAATACATTGTGCCTGGAACATTTTAGGGCCATGTATGGGACGCTTACACTGCGAACAGTGCACATGGAACACAAACATGAGACACTATGAAGCTTTGATGGCAGCTCACGAGGCAGCTAACATGATAACGTGGATAGGGTCCGAAGTTGGGTGCATTCAGCGATACAGCCGTGTATCTAATCGCGCCTTTTTTTTATTGAAGACATCGTGCTCCTCGGCGCACGACTTCCGGATCGTCGTCAGCCCGAGCTGCACTAAATAAACGAGAAGTACCAGACAAAGCCTTATTTCATTCATTCCACCAGCATCGCACCCACCCATAGACCGAAGCAGAAGGGAAATGGACGACGGGATGTCAGGCCGAGCAATACCTGGCCCATTCGCACATCGCGATCACCAACGCGACGACGATCGGGACCACAACCACCATAACCACAACCACAACCACAACCACAACCGACCCGACAGTCGCCCAGGTGGATTCCCAATTGGGGCCTGAAGATGTCTCCGGGTGATTAAATCCGATTTCGAACCGATTTTTGTTGATGTCCAAGCCAGCATCGTCGTCTTCGAGGAACTTTTCTGCTCTCCGATTAACTAAGGATCTTCGTAAGAAATATGTTGACCCTTTCCGAGTTGCACCAGTCAATATGACTCCTTCAAAATATCTGAGTCGATTCATCCGGCTGCGCTTATTTGCATTTCGGTCATACCGTCGATGAACCGATATCGATACGATGTGGACTTTATCCCATGAGAAATGTATTTGCTGGAGAAGCAGTCGTTCATGAAGATGAGTGCAAGTAATTTAACTGCATGTACATTTTAATTATGGCCTATGTAAATCAGTTTCTCAATAGACCCCAACTTAGAGCGTGAGGCTTGGGGGTTTGCTCTTATCAGATAATGAGAGTCGAATTTAGATCCATTGCTATTACTGCGATATCTGAGGAGCATGAAACTGGCACCTGAGGGGCCGCCACGCCACGACAAATAAACTCATCAAGTCAACGATTCAGTTCTGATCCGTTCGAATCGGTTGAATTTAATTCAAATCTCCTCAAAATTAATCTTGTCCAAATCCTTATGCCCTTCGGCCTTTGAAAACCCCTCGACGGACGCCTTCCTTCTCACCCTTCCAGAGCAGCAGTGGCTCTCCTCTGCAGAAATATCGGGGTAATCGCCGCCAGTCGGGCTCCAGCTGATGATGGTAAACATGGACGCGGCCGAATCCAGAGCTCAAAAGGATTTCCTTCCATGTCGCGAGCTTGCACGTAACAGTGGTTACGAGGAAAAGCGTGTGAATGTTAAAAAGGGGAAAAGTGTTACTCATGTGTAAAACACGTCTGCACCCATATATAACCACTGGCCGAATGTAACTCCTTAAAGTAATTAGAACTTATCTGCTCCTACTTCCGCTTAACAGAATTACTTTTTCTTTGTGAGCAGACTTTGCCCTCGCCAACTGACTCTCGCATACCGTAATGACACTCGCACATGTGCCGGACTTTCGCTTAGTGGACTGACTTCGCTTAACGAGCGGACTATAGCGTTGTCGTGATTATTAGTACTTCATGTACCGATGGAATGAGTCACTTTTGTACATTACAAGACGGAGGAATTCAAGGCCGAGTCATGCGTTTCGACGCACTGGGAGAATTTTGACTTTACACACTTTCCTCACATTCACTTCCGATATCGTTTCATGTTGATGGTATTTCATGAATAGAGAGACCACGTGACACATATGTATTGTACACGTGAGACCCGTGGCAACTCACATACAGCCCAAAGGAGCCGTTCGGCAATAGGGACGAGGTCAGAGGATGGAAGCATCCAGCAATCCAGTCGCGTCTCCTATCTAATCGCATCCAGCTTTTATCGGACTCAACGCCCTCCTTGGCACGCGACTCACGCTCGGGTCAGAGACGCAATCATGAAATTCCATGATGAAATTTTTATTCACCAGGCATTCATCGCAGACGAAAGGAGGATGTGACGTCACTCTCGCCTGAACTTGTGCCAGACGTGCAGCGCCACCACCGCCGCGATGAAGACGACGGCCCCCAGGACGACCGTCAGCGGCTCGACCTGCGGACCGAGCGCGTCGGCCTTGTAGAATCCGGTGATGCCTCTCGCCGCGCGCGACGTCTTCGACACCGACCGGTCGGAGTCAGCTGGCGCCAACGACGACCCCGCCTCGTTCCTGTCGAGATTTCATCGCGTAAGTGACCATGCCGATTCCGATCGCCACCGATTTTGAACCGACGTCGAAGTTCGATCTGCACCAGTCGATTCGAATCCTCTGGAATATTTCAATCGATCTCATCTGGCTGCATGTGTCGGAGCAGTCGTCAGAACGAGATCGATGAACTATTGATTTAATCGCATGAAAAATGCCTATATATACGAAAAGAAGGCATTTATCCAGTTACTACTGAAGATTTTCAATGCATTATGGTACATTTCAGTCATTAAAGTGTTTTAATGAATCATTACACCCGAAATCATAGGGGAAGGTCGTGCAAATACAGGGTCGTGCAAAATTTCCCGTACAATTTTAAAATCCAACTTTTTCACCAATCAACGGATTTTTGGCGATTCTGATGTGGGTTTTTTTGTTTAGTTATACAGACATTTTTTTATGCGAAATGTTTTCATTATAGTAAATTTCAGTATTTATTTGAATTTTTTCTCTGGAGCTATGACGCCTAAAAAGAATCGAAGCGCTAATCGAAGTATACGGGAACTTTTGCTCAACCCTGTAATTTAACGCGTAAGTCGCCAGATTACGAGAGCCAAAGTAGACTAAAATGTCACATTAGGCGAAATAACAGCGATATTGGAGTTGTTTCACTTTGGCGTCGGAGAGGCGGTCACGTTGCTCCCAAGAAATTTAAATTGAAGCAGGGACATTGGGAAGTCCAGATCGGAATCGAGGGAAGGAATGCGAGAAAATTATTAGGGATTCGTCTCAAAACAGCTCAAATTGATTCCAATGGATACGAATCGGTTCAAATCGATAGAGATCGGCTAAACCGGTTCAAACTGCCTCAAATCGGTTCCAAAGCCTTACCGATTCCGACGATTTTTGATCTGCTGCCTGGGTCCGGCGCCACCAGCTTTTCCTTTCTTTCCCATTCCTCCAACGCCAATAATGTTTCAATGGGAATATGGAAGGAAAGTGAATGCCCTGGCTCGAACTGATGGGATGCAAACAACAGAAGTCAAAAGGATTTCGATTCGATGTCAAGTAACAGTGCAGGACCGACGTTATGAGGAAGAACTCGCGACAGTTATTGAAAAGAAATGTCCTGCAAAATGCGATTCACAAGTGAAACACGGTTTTGCCTATACAAACGGGCAACTGAATTTTTTTTCCCCCAAGTGATTGGAGCAGATCTACTCTGAATTTCGCTAAGCGAACTGACTACATCGCTCTCGTTATTTTTGGTACTCCATGTACCGATTGAATGAGGAACTCGTGTGCATTCCGAGACGGACGAAGGCCAGGCCAGGCTAACTATTTTGGTACAATGAGCGATTTCCCCTTTTATCCCAAAACTTTATGCATGCTCGCTTCCGATGCCGTTTAATTTCGAAGACGTTCCGTGAATGGTGAGAAAAACAGATCTGACGGACCTTTTGACCGCAGGAAGAAATCGTCAAGAAATCCTCCCAGTTTCGCGACATACTCTAAAAATAGAACCTTCCCGAACAGATATCATATTAATATTGCAAATATGAATATTGCAAATATCATACGCTATGGGCTAGCCAGGAACTCGCACCGACACCGTCGAAAGACACAGCTACTTCGTGGCTCCAATGGTGGGATCAGCGGAATTCCTGTTTATCTCCTGGGTCCGATTTTCCTGGAATGATGTGCAGGGTGGTGTAAAAGTCTGGCATTCTCGTTCCTCGAGAAAATTCTCAAAGTGTTCGCCACTCGTTTCCAAACTTTTTGGTTCTTTTTAACAAATTTTGCTAATAAAATCTCAATAAAATTAAGAGAACCTGACCATTCTGTCGGTTATTTCGGCACACTCAACTGAAATTTTGTTCTATATTTTTTATTCTAGGTTGCTCACCATGGAATGTCCATTCATGAAGTCCAATGAGGCCCAGTGACCTTGGTAGCTCCTGTGACACAGTCGATATATGTGGCCATTAAACTGGTGGGCAAGTCGCAATCGCTATAGTAAAACAGTGATATCTGGATGGGTCCATACTTTTGGGTCACCTGTATATTTATTGCACGTTTTCTGATAATCAGGAGGAATTTCTCTGGAATTCGGTTCATGGTTTAATCAGAGATTAGCAGTCCGAAAAACGTCGACGTCAAGGGCAATTTTTTTCGCTAAAATTTCGAAGTTTCCGATCCGAAGTTGAAATTTCCGATCACCTTAGAGTACTAATAACCGTTGGAATTACCAACCGGTTAACTGTGCTTTTTGTCCTCAATGCCATGTTGAAGCAGTGCGACGCGACTCCAAATGAAGAAGCTGAGCAAGAGTTATGAGGGAAAAGTGAGAGCTTAATGAGAGCACCCTGAGAGCATCATGAGAGCATCATGAGAGCATTACTGGATCATTATGTGAGAATCATAGTTTTTCTGAATGTTTTTTATTATAATATTGCAACAAAAGTTCGGCGGCGAAAAAGAGTGAGAAAGCCTTTTGACTCTGCAGAAAATTCCCACTCCTTAGCGATAAACTCCAGTAATAAAAGAGATAAGTAACGAGAGTACTCAATGGATGATGAAAAAGACACTCGGCAAGTAAGAGGCGTGGTTAAATGTCCTCTGTTAAAGGCCTGCCGCGAGATCTGAGGGAATTTTTTTTATTTTTTGGTTCATTCGTGAGCTTTTTTGATCCATCCTACCGTCTCGGTGCCTCCTGAAAGTTCCTCGCAATCGACATTCGCGATGTTATACTGTCGACCTCTTTTCGGCTCCGACTGAGTTTCTCAAAGCTGTGGAATTCCAGGAACGTAAATTAGTTTTCCCATGCACGAATTCCTGCCAGAGACATCACAGGAGCCTCGATTCTCCTGATGTGACGCTCACGCTGCGAGCAATGCACATCGAACGCGAGCAGAAGACCCTTTGGATCTCACGTGGCAGCTCACGTGTCAATGTGGATATGGTAGGTGGCTGGTCGCTGAATGCGACCCAGCCGTGTATCTACGTTCCTAGAAAAGAGTGAGCGATTTCCCTCCGAGGATGCGAAACTGGAGTTAGCGATTTTACTCTTTAAAAACGAGGAAGTACAATCGGTGACTACTCTCTAATCTGAGCAGAATCCATCACTTTTTTAAGAGCGAAAAAAAGAGGGAGATTATTGTTCAAACTAGTAGATAACTTTAATGATTATTCTCAGGAATGAGAGAGGTGGGTGACATTTCTTTCTCGCTTTTATGGAGTAAACATTCGCGATATTATACTGTCGACCTCTTTTCGACTCAGAAAATTCCCTCGCCTTAGCGATAAACTCCAGTAATAAAAGAGATAAGT